AGAAAGAAGAAACCCTCGCGGGGAGGGGGAATTAAACTTTCATAAAAACCCCCCCCGGCTCCTTGGCGAGGACAATAGGGGCAATTTTTTTTGCTCCAAAAAAGAAAAGGGAAGGTTTTCCTGTTCCACGGGGTTCAACTTCTTAAAATCCTAAAAAGGGGTTTTTAATTTTGGGTTTTTTAACCAATTTAAAGATAAAAAAGGGTTCGGTTAGGGAGGGAGGTTATTTGGGTGGAAGAAAATGGAAAAGGTCCCTGGAAATGGGGGGGAAGGGGGGGAAGGGAAAGGGAAGGGGAGGGGGGGAGGGGGGGGGGAAAAGAAGAAAAAGATGACCCTTCCGGTTTCGGAAAATTTTTTTTTTTTTCCAACCCCGCCATTTCCTAAATTATTTTTTTCTTTTTTAAAAAAATTTTTTAAAAAAAAAAGGGGGTCTTTTTTTTTTTTTAACCTTTTCCGGTTTTTTTTTTTTTTTTTTTTTTTTTTTTTTTCAAATATTTAAAATTAATTTATTTAAAATTTTTTTTTTTATAAAAAAAAGAAAAAAAAAAAAATCTTCACGACTTTGGTATTAAAAAGAAATTTAATTTTTTTTTTTAAAAAAAAAAGTAATTTTTTTATTTTTTTCTTTCATAAAAAACAAGGGGGTGTCTGAAGTAAAAAAAACTAAAAAAAAATTGACTATTTAAAAATTTCAAAAATAAAAAAAATTAAAAAAAAAAATAAAATTAAAAATATTTTATATGTAAAAAATAAATTTTTTTTTTTTTAATTAAATTTTCTTTTTTTTATTAAATTTTTTTTTGCAAAACGTCGAGATAAATTCATGACGGACAACCCCTTGATAAAAAAAAATAATACACAATAGTTTTTATAATATTAGACAGATGATAATAATTACAATATCCTTGCAAAACTCAGTAAAGAATTTAAATTAACATTAGAGAATCTAATAAAAGATATAATGGCCAAAAAGAAAATGAAAATTGCTTGTTTACTTAAATAAATGTAAAGTTTTTAATAATTCAAACTTTGAAGAATTAAAAGTAAATATAAATACTATTTCCCATATAACAAAACGTGGTAGATTTATAACAGATATTTAGTATTAACTAACGATATAAAAATAGTTTATAGAAATAATTAAAAAGAGGTTACTTAATCACTGCTTCAATAAACATTCAACTTGAGCAAATAAGAACGAATATAAAATATTAAAATGGTTTGAAGAGGTATCGGAAATAATCATACTATAGAAGAATACCATTCAAATCTAATATAGATTTCGAAAAATGTTAAAATTTAAAAGTAGTTGCAACAATAACAACAGCAGTAATAACAATAAAAATTAAGATTAGGCACAATAATAATTTTAGTAGCAATAGAATAATAATAATAACAATTTCAAATTAGTTATCAGATAATTAACTTGTTGTAAGCACAGAAATAGACGATAATGATAGTAGCACACCACTCAAATCTCAACCCTCGCTTCACTGTTATCGATATTCCCAATGAGTCATACACAAATAGCAGTATCGAGCTTATTGCACTATAAGAAACTTTAATAAGAAACACTAATAATAACAACATAAATAATAATAGCTATTAATAATAGCAAAATTATCAATTATAATAACAATATCCAAAATAATGATAGTACCAACCAAATTCAACACCACAGTAAAAATCACAATCAAATAAAATAACTGATACTTCAAAAACATGAAGAAAATCAAGCTCAAACTGAAAGTAAATTACAAAAACGGGTCCCAATCAACAAGCTAGGCAATGAACAAATTTATAAACAAAAGCAAGTTCAAAATAATGATTCACTTGACAATAACAGATTTATCTTATGTAAACATTTTTGATAACCAAATTCACCCCACTTACTATCAACAACTCTTATAATCTCAACAAACTCATCACAATATGAAAGTATATTAACCCAATTCACATTCTCAATAACCCAACCACAAAAAATCATTAATATTGGCATACCTGGAAGATGTTCACTCACAAGAAATCAGTCAAAAGAAGAACGATAATCACAAAGTGATAGAATTGTTCCTTTTCCAGTTAAAATAATAAATCCATTCCATCAACCACAAAAACAATCAAAACAACCATAAAAAATAGAAAGAATCACAACAATGAAACTAGTAAATAACGAATCAACAACAGTAGCAAAATCAACTTCAACATCAACAGTTGCAGAATGTGTGGCAACAGTACAGTATTTCGCAAAAGTTTTGACCCCCATATAAAAAATATATGAAAAAAATTTAATTTTAATCATATCTTAAGTTTTTGACTATAAATCCATTTTAAAATTTTATTTAACAAAAAAAAAATAATAAAACCTTATAAGTTTAGAAAAAAAAAACAATAATGGCCCTTTTTTTAGAGTTAATAAAAATGATTATAAAAATTACAGAT